CTCTCTCTCTCTCTCTCTCTCTCTCTCTCTCTCTCTCTCTCTCTCTCCCCCACCTCTCTCTGTGTGTGTCTTATGACATGGCAATCTGGAAAAACTTGTTGGTTCTGTCCTTCCTCCATATTGGTCATGGGGATCGAACTAAGGTTGTTGAGCTTGACACTAAGTACTGTAACCTACTCAGCCATCTCACTGGACTCATTTTGGTCATTTTGTAAAGTTAGCTGAATGTCTCGTTTGCAGCTGCTCTTTGTGAAGTGGTACCCAGTTCCATTTTTTCTGTTTTGCTGAGTACTTTAATATAAGGGTCATAATATGTTGTAAGACTCCACAATAGCATAGAATATAAAAATGGAACATGGAAGAAAGTCCCTATCAGAGAAATAAAATAATATTTTCATTTATCACTGTGTAAAACTTAAGGAAAAAGGATTTCTAGAGCATTATCCCCAAGCAAACAAACAACCCCTGAAACAAACAAACTAGGGGGTGGAGAAATGTCTTAGCTGCTAAAAGCTTGAAAGGCTGATTGCCTACATCCAAATCCAGCAACTCACAATATCCTGTAATTCCAGCTTTATGAGACCCAAATTCCTCCTCTGTCCCTGAATGTACTGAACACACATATGTGTATATAAATACACACACACACATACACACACAATGCACACACAAACACACAAATATACATATATACTTTTTTAAAAATAATCCTTTATTTATTCATTTTCACTAGTCATTTTATCCATTTGCATTTCTAATGGTATCCTCCTTCCTGGTTACCCCTCCAAATACCCACCCCATACTATCTCCTCTTTCCCTTCATTTCCTTTGTCTCTTTGAGGGTGATTTTCCAACCACTCACCCACTCCTGTCTCATTGCTCCTGCATCCCCTATGCTGGGGAATCAAACCTCCACAGGGCCAAGGGCCTCCCCTCCCATTTATGTCAGATAAGAAAATCCTCTGCTACATATGTATCTGGAGCCATGGCTCTCTCATGTATACCTTTTTGTTGGTGATTTAGTCCCTGTGAGCTCTGTGTGGTCCAGTTAGTTCATATTGTTCTTTATATGGGGTTGTAATCCCCTTCAGCTCCTTCAGTCCTTTCCCTAGCTCATTCTTTGGGGACCTGGGCACAGTCCAATGGATGCCTGTGAGTTTCTGCATCTGTATTGGTCAAATGCTGGTAGAAACTTTCAGGGAACAGCCATACCAGACTCCTGAAAGCCAGTGCGTCTCTGTATCAGCAATAGTGTCTGGGTTTGTTGTCTGCAGATAGGATGGCTCACTAGGTGGGGCAGTCTCTGGATGGTCTTTCTTTCAGTATCTGTTTCATTTTTGTTCCTGACTTTTCTTTAGACAGAAAGATTTCAGGGTTAAAAATTTTGAGATTTGTGAGTAGCCCCATTCCTCAGTTGGGGGCCATGCCTATCTATTGGAAGTGTTTTTAAAGAACCCAAATATCAAATCCTTTATATGACAAGAATAAAATTAGTAATCCATCCCATCAATTTTTTCCTGTTCGAAATAATGACCATTTCTAAATTATCCCTTAAGATGACAAGATATGGTTGTAAAATAACCATAACCAGACACCCAAATCCATGGGATAGGGATGAAGACTCTTCACATGGCTTCTTCCTGCTGAATAGGGGTGATGAGATATTCTTTAAAGGGGTGGGAAGGGGTAGGAAATTTAGAAAAATTGGTTAGACTTAAGAAAGCAAGCTTTAGCATCTGTTACCAGTCTCTGTATGCTTAGAAGGCTCAGCGCTTGACTGAAGTTTTGACTGGATCAGTCTGAAAGTTTGAATGAAGCCATATCATCTGGAATCAATAGCAATTCCTGAAGATGTTCTGGAAGCAAGTCTCTGGACATCATTGTAATCAGGAAGTAGGAACAGCAGACCATTTCATCATCTCAAAGGATGAACCATGCCAATGCTATACATTCAGTAATATATGAATCGCATAACCAAAATTTTAGTACCTGGATTGTGCATGGGGCACAGAGTAGTTAGGGATGAATTTTATTTCTTCTTTGAGTAGGTGAAAGGCTATTGTCCTTTGATGAGTCAATTTGATCAATAATCAATTGTGATAAATCTTCATTCATGCCATATGAAGGATGGCATGAGGAATCTTAAGGGTTCCATAACCAATAAGATCTATTTTATAATTTTAGCTGAAGCTTTAGCAAGAGACATTTTTATGTGTAAGCCATATACTGGGCTGTTTCAATGCTGAGGAATCAGCAGATCAAGTTACCTATCCTGTTTAATTTTCTTAAATTTCCTTTTCAGTAGCTAAGATCTTCAAGGGGTCTTCCTCTGTCATATCTGATCCATATCACTCTGAATGGGATCCAAATCCTTTTCTCCTTTCCTGTAAACACAAATACAGAGGCTCTCTCCCAAAATAGCATGTCCTTGGTCCAGTAACCAGAAATCATTAAAAGTATAGACAGAATTAATTTAATATCTAGTCCCCTTTCCCATAGAATTTTAATATAACCACCAACTCATAGCAACACACATTTTGATAATTAAGACAACTCAAAACAATTAAAACAATCTAAACAAATATTACCTATCAAGACAGTACTCCTTCCCTATCCTCTGCATATATCCTACAATTTAAGATCAAAAGCCTCAATTATGTATACATCTATGTAAACTTAAATCCTCCCTTCTATGGAGATGAATATCTCTGGTACTATGCCCCCTCCTCTTTATATACTTATCAAGACCTAAGTTTCTACTGTAGGTTAGGCTCCCTATCCTCAGTTTTTTTTGACCTAATTTTTAAGATCAAAAGTCTTAATTAATTATACATCTATGCAATCTTACTGTATAAGCCTATTTCCAGGCTCTAGTTTTGTCATACCAGGCAAAGAAATCCCATGAAGGCCATTCAAAGATCCTGAGTATTTGCCCTTGCAAGACCTTTTCAAATCTTCTCTAAAGCATTTTCCCATTCAGTGTCAACAACATGACTCAGCTCTGCTCACTGAGAGACCAGTTCTCCCCTCTCCTAGACTTATATTTGCATGTGTGCTTTACTTCCAAGAATCTCTAAATATAAACACGAGTTCTTACAGACCACATTGGTGTCTCCAGATACATATGTAGCAGAGGATTTTCTTATCTGACATCAATGGGAGGGGAGGCCCTTGGCCCTGTGGAGGTTTGATTCCCCAGCATAGGGGATGCAGGAGCAATGAGACAGGAGTGGGTGAATGGTTGGAAAATCACCCTCAAAGAGACAAAGGAAATGAAGGGAAAGAGGAGATGGGATGGGGGGTATTTGGAGGGGTAACCAGGAAGGAGGTTACCATTAGAAATGCAAATGGATAAATAAAACAACCCCTGAAACAAACAAACTAGGGAGTGGAGAAATGTCTTAGCTGCTAAAAGCTTGAAAGGCTGATTGCCTACATCCAAATCCAGCAACTCACAATCTCCTGTAATTCCAGCTTTATGAGACCCAAATTCCTCCTCTTTCCCTGAATGTACTGAACACAAACATGTGTATATAAATATACACACACATACACACACAATGCACACACAAACACACAAATATACATATATACTTTTGTAAAAATAATCCTTTATTTATTCATTTTCACTAGTCATGTTATGCATCCCTTAAAGGCATAGTTCAGTATTTTCTTTACATTCAAAAATATGTAGCCTGTTGCATCTGTTTTTGAACTTTGTTTTTCTTTGAGACAGGGTCTTACCATTTGTTCTAGCTTGCTTGGAAATTGCTGTGTATACCAGGTTGGCCTTGCACTTAGTGATCCATCTACCTCTGTATCCTAAGGGCTAGGATTACAGTGTGTACCACAACACCTAGTATTATTTTAGAGTTATTTCATTTCTATAAATAAAAATTTGTATATACAAATTTTGTTCTCTGTAAGTTCAGAGTTCTTCATGGTTGCAAAATCATACAGGTTTGATATTGACTAAACTAATACCTAACTCTAACTTCTCACATCAGTTAGATGCTGAGAGATATCTTCCTCCCAATTTCCTGTTCCTTTCTCTTCATTTGGTGCTGCCTACTAGGATGCTGACCGATATTGTTGGCTTGGTCTGATGCAGATAGTCAGTTCAGGAGAGGGCCATGCCATATCAGGGATATGATGTTTCACACACCCCAATTCCTGCCTCTGACTTTGTTTCCACATCCTCTTTCATGATGTTCCTTGAGTCTTGATGTGTGAGGGTGCATATATAGATGGTCCATTTAGGGATCAGCAGTCAACAGTCCCTTATTCTCAGTTCTTAGATCTGTTAGGGATCAGCATTGACTGAAGACCCACTCGGCCCATTACCAATGCCAATCATAAAGGACTTTGTTCTAGCTATGTTGTAACCTTCAAGCAACCTTGACCTAAGCAACCACCAGTTCCTTTCCTTTGTATCTGAGTATTCTGTCCATTTCACATGAATTGGAACATAGATTGTGTGATCTCTGTGAGAGGCCTCATTCATTTAGCATAATATTAAATGAAGCAAATGCCACTATGTCCTGTGCTTATGATTTTTTATTTCTGAGTTTTGAGCAGGAATTTTTTGAGAAAGTATTTCACTGTGTATCCCTGACTATTCTTTAATTGCCTGTGTAACTTGGTGTTTGTGTGCCACGTGTAGATCAGAGAACAACTATAGCAGTTAGTTCTCTCCTTCCACAGGTGGGATCCATAGGTCAACCTCAGGCCTTTAGTTTTCACTGAAGAAACTTTTAGAAATTGGACTATCTCAATGGTCCCTTTCTTTTGCAGATCTATATGATCTATGTGTGCAGCAGAGTTAAACATAAAACTTATTAAACTCATTAAAACGTATCTTTTTTCTTTTTCCAGTACTCTTTCCATTCCTCATACCAGTATATGAGATGTTAAACATCTCTGTGTTCCCAAAGGATTCAATAGCATTTTTCCAAAAATTTGTGGACAGAATGAAGGAAAACTTCCAGGATTCTAAGCAGAAGGTAAACATAGTGGTTTCATGAAAGATTCGAAGTTTGATAACATGTTGGGCAGTGACATGTGAGCTGTGGGCCAAAGCAGACAGAGAAGGCTAGATTTAGAGATAGAGAAATAATATTTATATTTTCTGGAGAAGGAGAAGTTGGATTTTTAAAAACTTGATTGTGGATAAGGCAGGAATTAACCATTAGTAACAGGAAAGAAAACTAGTGTACCGCTCATGATGATTAAAATAAGGAAAAAAAATTGGCATAGCACAAAATCTGAACAAGATCAAGATTTTCAAAACTCCAGTATACATGGGAAAGGATTTCTCCAAACTCTGCCTTTGCTGAGGAACAATTTGCAGTTGTGGAGGGAGTGTGTAGACACTGGTAGGTTCCTCATGTGGCAGTTGATGGCCTGACAGCCATGCACATGTGAGCATCACTAGTTGTACTCAGTGGGTAATTAAAAAAACGGGCATGGACTGTGGAGGAAGAAATGTTACAGATGATATAGAAGAAATTGGATGGAGGAAACAGTGGGGTGGAGATGACCATGTCTGATTGTGTGCATGTATGAAACTGTCTAATAACAAATAAAAATGATTAAAAAGGGGTAATATTATTTTACTCTTCTTCAAAAACGTTTTCAAAGACTAAAAGTGATTGTTTAAAATTTTTTCTATTGTAATTGACTGCAAAAGTGGTTGATGTGGAACCTGATGCTTCCTGGTTTAGCCACTCTTGCTTTTCTTCCTTGAGGACTCAAGCAATCCTAGCCACAGTTGTGAATTTAAGGGAACCGTGTTCTCAGAAATGAGAGAATTAAGCTTCTGCACTCCTGATCCACCTCTGACCTCTGACCTTCCCATTGACCTTCCACTTTTGCAACTTCTCTTTCTGCTTCCAGCACCGAGTGAATCTTCTCCAGCTGATGATGAATGCTCATAATAATTCCAAAGACAATGAGTCTCATCAAGGTAAGTCAGCCCTTCCTGGTCAATAGACAAGGAAGCACTCGGGGAGTCAGTGGTTCACTCAGAAAATATAGCGGTAGAGGAATACCTCTGTCAAGTTACCAAAAGATAGAAATGACTTCTATCTCCATGATATTTTCTGGAAGCACATGGGCAAAAGTTTGTTCCTAACATGAAGGTTGGCTATGATGGAAATCTCCAGGGGTCTGTTATCTGGGTGAGCATAGGTGCTGTTTGTGTGTTTCACAGCACACAGTCTAAGTGTTCTGCCTAGACATCTGTGTCTAATCATTCTGTCAGGAGGCATGTGCCCAACTGTTGCTCAAGCACTCTGGGAGCCCCTGGTGAACATGTGTTCTCTACCATAATACATGTTAAAGATTTACTCTTCCTTTGTGTGATATGTAAGTAGCTTCTGGGGAAAGCCCCTTTGTACAAGTGCACTAGTCCTTCTTATTTTTCCATGCACTTCAAAATCACTCATAGCTGGGCAGTGGTGAAGCACCCCTTTAGACCCAGCATTTGGGAGGCAGATGTAGGTGGATCTCTGTGAGTACAAGGCCAGTCTGGTCTATAAAGTAGATTCCAGGAAAGTCAGGGCTACACAGAAAAACTCTGTCTTGAAAACCCATAAAAATCACTTAAACGTTCTTATCTTTTTTTGGTAGTACATGCATGTGCAGGAGTATATGCACATGTGCATGTCCCTAGGTGTGTGTACAGGTAAGAGATGAAGGCACAATGTATCTTGCTCAATCCCTCTCTGCCTTATTTCCTGGAGACAGTTTTTTTTTATTAATCCTGGGATTAGGCTGGAAGTCAGGAGGACCCAGTGTTCTACAGTGCTGTGGTTACCATGTGTGCTGTCCCACCTGGCTTTTTACATGGGGACTGAGGATTCAAACTTGCTTATGCTTGTGTAATAAGTACCCTTACCTATTTAGCCATCTCTGTAGCCTCCCATCTGTGTTTATTTTTTAATTCAAAGCCATTATTATTATCATGGTTGCAAACTGATGGCATTCCAATTCCAGATTTTATTTTACTTGTGTGAATCAATAGCTAATGGAAAGGAAAGTTTCCATCCTTACCTATTCGATTATTTCCCATACACACACTTGCTTATATGTAGCAGTATGATTCTGGGCCCCCACGTTTACTGGTTAAAGTGATCATGTACTTTGAGTTTCCAAATCTTCCTGTTTGCTCACTTGAAACCCTTTCAAGTGATCAGCTAATTTCAATTCTTCTATAGCCCTTCCTTCTTTTGCCACAAGGCCCTATGTAACCCAGGCTGACCCACATTCATGATGTGTCTGAGAATGACCTTTAACTCCAGAGACTACAGGCATGTGTAGCAGAGTTTCAGAAGAACCGTCGAATCTAGTATGAATCTGACATGATGGAACCTCAGCTTTGAAGTAGCCTTCTGTCAATGATCATTATCTGAGATTTTATGGTGTTCTTTGGAAATATTCCTAGAACCTTAGCAAGTCTCCTATGGCTAAGAACTGCTTAGGTGATGGGTCTCTCAAGACAACCCCTCTATCAGATAAGAGATTTTGGTATGTAGAAATTGACTTGCTAAAGGTGCCTTCTGTGTAACAATAAAAAGTGCCTCTAGAAAGTTGTCAGTGTTCAGTCCTTGAGCTGCTGATTGCCCTGCTGTTGAGAAGCAGAATTCATCCAGTTCTGGCTCTCTTCTCTCTGGTCAGTCTTCCAGTGTAACCCAGAATACAGACATTGCCATGCCTTGGTTACATACTGCTGGAGACTGGACCCAGGACTTCATGCCTCCATCTACTGAGCTGTATATTCTCAATCCCTCTGCTTAATTTCATATATCTAAAGTAAATATTGATTTCAAAGATAGTCACTGATTGTGAATTTATAGTACAGTTTCAGTTTAGGTCCATGGACTTACAGTAATTGGGAGAAAGAATTTACTGACTACATAATCATAGCCTTCATGGTAGAAGATGTACAACTGCCTGTAACTCTAGCTCTGTGAGCTCCACAGCCATTTTCTGGCCTCCATGGGGACCTGGGCAAATGCACAGAAATATATAACTTTTAAAAACATCTTCAACTATAGCAGGGACTTTCTATAACTGCTTTTCTAGGAGATTAGATGCCCTCTTCTGGCCTCCATGACCATCCTCCCCTACATACACACACACACACACACAAAGAGAGAGAGAGAGAGAGAGAGAGAGAGAGAGAGAGAGAGAGAGAGAGAGAGAGAATAAAATTTTCAAAAAAGAAAGTCCGTATCCCACTGGGGATGATGAGGAACAGCAGAAACATTAGGACAACCTGCTTGAATAGTTTTTCTCTTTTTCTGGATATGGCACATGGCTGTCAAGAGCGATGACATTCTCAGAGTGATTGAACAGTGTCTTTATAGTCAGTGCAAGAATGTGGGAGCCTCATTTGATTTTCTTCTCTTCTCTGTGATGGTCCAACCTGACATGACTTGTTATTTTCTCCTCATCTCCACTGTGATGCTTTGTCTTGACATGTCTTACCTGAGTTTTTTTTTTTTTCTTCCAGCCCTGTCCGACACAGAGATCACAGCCCAGTCAATAATCTTTATTTTTGCTGCCTATGAATCCACCAGCAACACGCTTTCCTTTGTCCTGTATTCCCTGGCCACTCACCCTGATATCCAGAAGAAGCTGCAGGAGGAGATCGACAGGGCTCTGCCCAATAAGGTGAGAGGATGGTGTAGGAGGAAAAGGAGAAGCCTCAACAAAGACACCTTCTTATTACCCACAATGGTGTGTGTGTGTGTGTGTGTGTGTGTGAGAGAGAGAGAGAGAGAGAGAGAGAGAGAGAGAGAGAGAGAGAGTTGTATTTTTGTGTGAATATGTTTTTAATGTGTTTTAGTGAGTTTGTGAATGTATGCTTGTAAGTTCGTGTATGAGTGTATGTTGAGGTGTGAGGGTGAGGGTGAGTCTGCGAGTTTGGGTGTGTGTACATGTGTGAAGGTCAGAGGAAAACTTTGGTGTTAGTCCTTCCTTTTCACCTTGTTTTACACAGGGTTTTTTTGTTGTTCCTACTGCTTCATACATCAGACATTCTGGCCCTTGAACATTTAGGGAATCTGCTATTGCCACCTTCCTTCTTGCTGTGGAAGCACTAGGATTACAAATGTGTGTGTGTGTGTGTGTGCGCGAGTGTGGGCGTGCATGTGTGTGTATGTATTTGTATGTGCACGTGTGTGTTTGTTACCACAGGTGGGTTTTAAGTGGAAGCTGAACTGAGGTACTTACATTTACATAGCAAGCATGCAAGCCACTGAGTCATCTTTCCAATTTTAGTATTTTTTTTCATTTGTGTACATATGTCTGTCTGTCTGTCTGTCTGTCTGTCTGTATATATGTATGTATGTTCATAGGTATGTATGTGTATACACACACACACACACACACGTGTGGGTATGTTTGTTCCAGCATGTGTGTGGAGATCAAACAATTTGAAGGAAGTGGTTCTCTCTTTCTACTATGTGAATTTTGGTGGTCCAAATCAGGTCAGTAGGCGCAGTAAGCTGTCTCAGCACCCTTGACAATTTGTAACAAGAACACAAGCACTGTTTTTGAAGGACCACTTATAAATTATGATTACAAGGATACAGAGGGAGAAATGGGCCATAAAACCTTTCATGGCATCAGAAGGTTGTTGTGACACAGGTCTCGACTTGGTGTTTCTGTTATCTAGGACCACAAGAGAAACAAGCAAAAAACATGCACACTACCTGTGTGATGTTAAAGATATGTATTTAACATACAGTTCTCTGTATGGTACAATGATACTGCTGGATCAGCTGTGTTCCAGCTGTGCACCGAATGAAGCTCACCTTGGCCTTGATTAAGCTGCATGGGTTGGTACAGCTTTGTCCCATGATTACCTCTACCTATTTATATTTATAGAAGAAGCCAAGGTGTGAACCTTGGTGTCTAAATTATGAGGCAAACTCTCTCTGTGTCTGTGTTTGTGTGTGTTTATGTGTGTATGTGTAAGTATGTACATAGGTCATAGACCTACATTGTGTACATTTGTAAATCACACTGCACCATGTTTTTGAGATGGGATATCTCACTAAACCTGGAGTTGATCAATTTGGCTAGGCTGTTTAGCCAATGAGCACCAGGCATGCCCTTTGTTTTTCTACCTACTGCTGGGATTACAGATGGGTGCCACTCTGTCTGGCTTATAAATGATTTGTATCTGAATTGTTGTCCTCAAGCTTATATAGTAAAAATTTCACTAATTGAGAATCTTCCAGGTCCCAGGTGATAATTAGTCCATCTTGTAAAAAGCTTGAGAAATGGCACAATGTTCAAGAGCACTGGCTGTTCTTCCACATGATCCGTTTGTATCTAGGTCCCAGCAGACAAATGGCAGCTCTCAACTGCTCTCTCTAGTTAAAGGATATCTGATGGCCTCTGTTGGCTTTTGTGGGCACTGTGCTCATGTGGTACACAGTCACATGAAGACAAAATCCCCCTCACACATAAAATAAAATAGAAGTTTAAAATCCTTTAAAACGTGATGTAAGTGCCAAGTAAAGTTTTTATTTTTGAGATGCTGAGCTTGATTTTAAGCTGCTGAGAACTCAGCAACAGACACGGCTGAAAGTTAATCTAAAAATCTCAGCACAAATCTTTTTTTCTTTCTTCCAAGGCACCTCCCACTTACGATATTGTGATGGAAATGGAGTACCTGGATATGGTATTGAATGAAACCCTCAGATTATACCCAACTGCTGCTAGACTTGGGAGAGCCTGTAAAAAAGATGTTGAAATCAATGATATACTTATACCCAAAGGGTCAGCAGTGATTGTACCATGTTATGCTCTTCACCATGACCCAGAACACTGGTCAGAACCTGAGGAATTCCACCCTGAAAGGTACCAGAACCCCAGGAACACAAACTTCTCTGTGGGGTTTTGAATTTCTCTTAGCCACTGGGGTGTAGAAAGGCTGTTGAGATGATGCAAGGGGAGGTAATAGGAAATGTAGTGGTGCCAGGCCATGTTCCTTTCTGGTTTCTGCATTCTTGCAATGCCTATAGCCTGCTCAGGGCTGGCAAAATGCAGTCTAAGTGAGAAATGATTAGGGCAGAGATGGGGCTGTGGTTCTCAAACTCCTAGTCTCCCAGATGCCACTAGGAACTGCAATGAGTGCTGCAGGCCTTTGATGAGCCAGGGGAGGTGTGTGTGTGTGTGTGTGTGTGTGTGTGTGTGTGTGTGTGTGAATCTGGCTCAGCTCAGTGTGAGTGTCAGGAATTCAGAGAGGCCTTCTGCAGGCGACTTAGGGGCAGGTCTGTATTTTAGTGGTTAAAGATGTATTTTGTTTTTTGTTTCTTTTTATTGTTTGACAATTACATGAATGGATAATAAATTCTGGTCATTTTCATCTCATATTACCCTGTCTTCAACCAGTCCTCCTCCTCCTTTTTATATTTTTGTTTGTTTTGTGACTTGTGAGTTTGTTTAGGTTTGCTCGCATAAGCATAGGTTTAGGAGTTTATATCTTGGAGAATGATCAACTTGCCAGTGGTTACACCATTAAAGAAAAACTTTTCTCTCCTCCACCAACCATTCATTGTCAACAGCTCCTTAGGGAGGTGGCATCTCATGGGTACCTTCCCTACCCATAATGGAATGATGATATGTCTGGTATTGTGTAGGCATCCACAGCTGCTGTGTGTTCATTAGTCCAGTGGGCATATCATTTCCAGAAGATAGTACTCACAGCACCAATTTCATTCACTGACTTTCACATTCTTTTTGTCTCTTTTTCTGTGATGTTTTCTGAGCCTTGGAGGGGCTGAGTACTTCACCTCCACTTCTTCTCAGGACTATGGCCAGTCAAAAGTTTCTGTGTTAACTGTCTCTTACTGCAAACTGAAGCTTCTCTGACAAAGGCTGAGATTAGCAGTAATTTTTGTGTATAGAGATATATATTTAGAAGGCATTTTGATACCATGTCCACTTAAGAAAACAACAGCAGTACATTCTCGTGAAGTATCTGTGATGTCTGCAACTATGAGATTTTTGACTAGATTTAGAGCAACAGGCATTAATTAACTCTGTGAATTGGAGTTCAAACCCAATCAGAAATTGGTTGGTTCCCCCATGCCATAACACTACTATTACAGCAGTGTGTGCTCACACATGTATGCATTTTCTCAAGCAGTTTTTGTCTTCTCTCAACCACGTGGAGACTCTTATAAGGCAAGGGGAGTGGAAAAAAATCATTAATGTAAAATTCTCAGAGCCAAATATCTGCATGCAGAAATTCATTGAATCTTTCCCCAACTATCTGTGTGTTACTGGTTTGTAGGCATACATTTTTTTTGCAACCTACTTTTAATAAGGGTTCAACCTCTACTCTAGCCTACCACTCAACAGAGGTAGTAGAAGAGAAAAGTTATTAGGATATAGGGGAAGTGGACCTGTTCAGCAATAGTTTTTGGGGGACAAGTTTGATCATCTTTGGCAGCAGTTGGTGTTTCACTGTCTCTGGTTTGATATTTATACTCTTTCTCCCAGGTCCTTTCACATATTTGCCATATCCAAATATTCTTTCACCTGTGTCTGCTTCAGGAAAACAGGCTTTTAAATGTTGGCTTTGGCAAGACATCCTTTTATCTGTGTGCCACAGCAAAGCATTGTTTGACTCACTTTCCAAAGAAGTAGAAGTTTCTGCTTCACTGGTTAGATGTTAAAAGGCATCATCACATATGCAGTTCTTATGCTTTCATCCCCTGTTAACGTGTCATCTACTGTTCTGTCTCCAGGTTCAGCAAGGAGAACATGGGCAGCATTGATCCTTATGTATATCTGCCCTTTGGAAATGGACCCAGGAACTGCATTGGCACGAGGTTTGCTCTCATGAGTATGAAACTTGCTCTCACTAAAATTCTGCAAAACTTCTCCTTCCAGTCGTGTAAGGAAACACAGGTGATGAAAAAAACGATCTTTATAGTGTTTTATGGAAGGCATTTTTCTAATGGAAGGTTCTGTGTATAAGAATGGTTATGCATGTTTGAGGTTTAATAATTTATTTTCTGGCCAAATGAGCTACTTATACCCATATATTAGCTCAGAGGCCTCTTCCTGTTTGTCCCTATATAATACAACTATGTCATTATGAAGAGTAAGTTTAGGCCAATATGACATGATTGTATGCATTCTGTTTGACATTCTAGCCCTGTCCACTGGAGACTGGCTATGTCATGTTCCATCAAGAGGTATGGTAGTCATGCCATCAATATTTGTTGAGTGTTCCACTCTTCTTCCAGACCTTACAGATACCTTCCTCTGGCATACTTTGTAAGCAGTAGATGTACAGTAGCATTTCAGAGGAGCTTTAAAACTTAAATATGGGGTCTTGGATGTTTCTCATAATACCTGGTCATTTCCAAAATCCTAAAACAGTTCACCCAGAGTATGGCTTTAAAGCTCATCTCTGATTTCACATGTGATGCCAAGTTGAGTGTTATTGTTTTAAAAGATGATTGCTGGGTCTTATGAGATGGCTCAGTGGCTAAGAGCACTTGCTGCTCTTACAAAGGACCTGAATTTAGTTTCCATCACCCACATGGTGGTTTATAAGCATTTGTAACTCCAGTTCAATGGGCTCTGATGTCCCCCTCTGACATTTCTTAAGATAGCACACATTTGGTATATATGAATACATTCTAGCAAAATACTCCTATAAATAAACTACAAATATTTAAAAAGTTGTTTGTTATGATGAACTTCAACTCTGTGTGACATTGTGAGGATTCTTGCTCATTTCTCAGTAGGTCTGCTCTAGAAAACATGTAGTTGTCATATTGCCATGTACTATGTATCTTTATTTCCCTTCTCATTCTGCTCTCATAGTTCAAGTTTTTACTCACTTTCTAAATGAATCTTCCTTTTATGTTTCTGCCCTCATTTACTCCATGTTTTCCTTTTGGCTCATGCAGGCTATTTTCATCAGCTATCTGTCATTAAAACTTCTAGTTGATTATACTTGTTCTCTCTGTATTGAAGATACACCTATATCACCTCATATTATTTCTTCCACAAACTTCAATGATTCTTTGAAGAGAGTTTGTGCATTGAAAGCCTTTAATAAATATTTTATAGGCATTCATTTATAATATTCTTTCATAAAAGCATTCACAAAAATTAACAGATTCCATTTATGTAACTATTTCTATGCAAATCTTAGTTGTATTGTGACCATCACAATCATGTGTATACTTTTTAAAATTATAAAATTGTACAATATTACATTCAGAGAAAGTGTTTATATTTTTCTGCAAAATTTGCTTTTGTTTCATGTCAAGGGATGGCAAAGATTTACAGAACTTATGTATTTAGAATATGACTTCTCTTTATCAATTAGTTTTATTTCTGAACAAATGAATGGATGGAAATGTTTATTATTTGGTCTGTGTCTTAAGGTTATTGTATATCTTTACCTACACACTTATTTTAGTATTTTAATACTAGAGCATTTAAGACATATACAGGAATTTAGCCAGACAAAACAAGGTTCTAGTTTTCAGACACCATAGCATACCTGGCATGGGGCAGATGCTCTGGCAAACTCCAGTCATCTCAAATTTGACACTTCTGTGTCTCCAGGATGACTTCATTCCCATTCCTATTCCTGTGTCTAGAAGATTTCTCTATTGGAGTCTTTCCCATTCATCACTGAAGAGAATGAGGCTAAAGTGTTGAAAACCCTGTAGGCTCAGAATTTTCCATTCATCTAATCCTTGGAAGCTAAGAATAGATGCTAGAAAAGCAAGCCAAGTATTTGTCCTCCTGAAGACTTGCTGGGAATGCACTCAACTGTAGTGGTGATCTAGGAGCTGAAAGTCTCCACTGAGTTGAACTATATCCTCTCAAGATTAACTTGAATGTTTCAACAAATCAAAAGTAGTTTCTCATGAACTAAAAACATAGTATGATTTAATACCTAAAAATAAGGTTAAAAGAGTTAAACTCAACGGTTTTACTCTGTATCAGCATGGAACAGAAATAATATAGATGAACATAAAATTGTCTCAGGCCCTGAATTCTCAATCAAATTTTTAACCAAATACATGTTTAGATGCATACTCTCACCATTCAATTGACACAGCTTGGAGAACAATTAAGTCAAATATTTAATGTTAAATCTAGCCATTTGTGTTTCTGCAAGCATTATTATCCCAAATGCTTGTTTTCTATTTTCTTCTGGTATTGTTGTTGGCTCACTCACTGCTTCACAATATTTTTCTTCCCTTGTTACAGATACCTCTGAAATTATGCGGAAAGCCATGTCTTAAACCAATAAAACCCATTGATGTAAAGGTTGTGCTACGAGATGCAGTCATAACTGGAGTGTGACTTTATCTTAAGGAGTTCTGCTGTAAATGTGGTGTGTAAGAACACCGGACTCTCTAATTTACCTAATGAATAAAACCCATAAAATGATGGAGCTTAATTGGCAGGTCTTGATGCATGGTTAAAGATTTAGTATATCTATTGAGCTTCTCAGTGTAGATACAAAGAACCATCTAATATAAAGGAGATAAGTCAGTGATAGAACAAGAAATTTATTGTTTATCATGTGACCACTTACATCCAAATCTAGTTGTCTCCATCAATTTCCTTTGAGCTCTTTTGAAAGTAACCATGTCCCTTTAATTTGATCAATAATTTTTTGATTAAAAGGTGAACTATAGTGACAACTCTAATTGTAGAATTGGTGTCAGATGATTTACTTGCAGTTTTGGACAATAAATATTACACAGAAAATATAAATAAACATCTTTTTAAAAATCTTAATTTTAAAACTGTTTTTGTATTTTTTGAGAGCTTCATTGAATATATTTTAATCAGAGTAATTCCTTTCCTCAACTCTTCCTAGATTCTATCCTTTACCACCCAACATTACATTCTCTCACACTGCTTCAAAACAAAACAAAAACTATGGAGTCCTGTTTGTGTTAGATAGCTATTCCTGGTGTGAGGCCTGCCCTGGAGTGTAGTAGATATACCCAGTGTCACCCCATTGAAGAAAACTGACTTTTACTCTCCCAGGTGCTCTCTGCTGCCCATATCTCCTAGGTGTGAGGCAGGATATTGAACTCCTCTCCACTAGGATTTTCTCTGGTTTGAGCTTGTGCAGATTGTGTGAATTTTGTCACAGTCTCTGTGATTTCATACGTACATTTGTATGTTGTGTTTATAATGCTGTTTTCTTAAAGTTATCCACTATCTCTGACTCTTACAATCTTTCTGTCTTCTATTGTACCTTGAGAAGAGATGTGTGATCTACACATTTTACCTACTCACAGTTGAGCATTTCAAAGTCACTTCATGTTGACAAATTGTAGGTGTTCTTGTTAACCACTGAATACTGCGTGAAGAAGTTTCTCTAATGAGAGTTGAGTAATGCAGTATTCTATGTATATAGCATATTTAGATCTTTTCATTTCTACATTCATTTAATAGATTAATAGTAGTTAGTTCTTACTAGGACTCATGACATATCTAGTCTCCAGTATGTGGCCTCATAGACAGTGTCTGTTATTGGTTCCATCTCATGGAGTTTGCCTGAAATCCAAATGAAAAAGTGACTGGTCACTCCTATAACATCTGTGCCACAGTTCTACCAGCAGGCATGTCTCTCAGGCAGGTCATCATGTCAGCTCACATGGCTCACAGCTTAGTGAGAGTGATGATTACTTTTCTCATTCAGTGTCAAGTACAGCACCTATGGAATCCACAATCAGGAGGCAGAGTGATGGATGCTTGCTGATGCTCAGCTTCCTTTATCTACTTATACAGTCCTAGATCCTACATGATATCAACCAAAGTGGGTAGGACTTCACACCTTAATTAACTCAATGAAAAAATCCTTCGCAGGCATGCCTGGAGACCCATATCCCTCCCAGGTGATTCTAGATTCTCTGAAGTTGACAATACTAATAGCCATAGACTCCAAAGAAGTCTAAGAAAACATGGACTTTTGGAGATGTGGGAGGAGAGGAAGATGATGCTAGGTCAATCTTAAGAAGAAGGTTTCATCTGAGCTATATTATAAATCTTTCAAATATAGCAGAATTAAACTATGGATACATTTCTGAAGAAATGTGTCAAATCAAAATGGACCAACATCACCAAACTTTTAGAGTCAAGTTGCATCTCAAACGGGCTCACACAACTGTTATTGGAAAGGATTAGCATCTTGTTTTATTGATTCAGTGGTTTTGCCATTGATGTGTATAGTGACAAAAGTATATCACAAATTTTGAAAGATACATTTATTTATATTCATAATGTCATACATCTTTATAAAGTGAAAATTTGATACACATTTACTAACATCCATTACAATGGTTTCTATTGATTGAACTATAGAGAAATAGTTACTACAGTTAAAATTGAGAATTGATGGAATTTACTAGAATGAGCAAAAATGGTCCCACAAGATTCAGAAGATCAATTTCAACATCTACCATTGAGTTAATAATTTCCTTTGAATCACACAATAGATCAATCACTGCAGAGCCACTGACCATGTTCAATGAATTTCTCAATACTCTGTCATCAGGGAAAGTTGATTAAGTACATATTATGTTAGTCTTATTCTAAGGTTCATTAAATTCTCTGGTGTTCTGTGACACAGTCTCTTGAAGAATATAACATGGTTTCTGAGGGAAATTCAAGGTCCAGTTCTGGGTTTATTTCTTGAAACAACCTTTAGGATGATGGGTTTCTCTGGTTCGAAAATTGGTTGCCTGCTAATCTTCAGGGGGATCTGCAGTAGTTGAACAATCATAAGGAGAAGCAGTGAGTGAACCACAAGTAAGGGCTGAAGCAAGGAGAACAGATACATTAAGGACCATGATGCTTTATACACACAAATACATTGTATATCAGCATGTGTGATAAAATAATATCAGTCATCTATATCAGCCATCTATCCTGAGTTCTTTAGGCCTATAATGACTGAAACTGGATACTAAAAGCCCTTATCTATATTTTATACAGGAATGTATTAGTTGAACACCTACTGTCTATACAGAGCCAGGGAAAAGTTCTGTTTGTTTGGGCTCCTTAGTGACTTAAACTTTAAGTGAAAAGGACATGTTAAAATTTTAGATCATATCTTAAGTATACGGAAAATGGATTTTGAAGGCAATATAGGTTATTTTTACATTTGTTGGAGCATAAGATAATTCTGAGTTTGTATCACAATTTTACTTCTGTGGAGGGGCTCAGCTATTAAAGTTCTTGGGCATTAGGTGTGCTCCCTCAGTTTGGTGGGGGAGAAGGACTTCAGGAAGCTTTAATTCTTGTTATTTTAGCTTCCAAGGTTTGTGTGAAAGGTGATTTTCTGAGTAATTCAATGTTTTCATAATCATTTTGCCTCAGTAGCTTCAGTCAGGAGGATGAAAATATCCACTGTAGCAATTTGATCTCAGCACAAAGAAAAAAGGCAAGAAAATTGTCATGAGGGAGGGGTGTCAGGCTTTGGGTGACCAAAAATTGTCATGTGTCCCCAAGTCCTGCTTATTTTCAAGAGTAAATGCTTTTGTCTATGTGCCCATCAAAAAACCTGCTGTACAGTCTAACAGGACTGTCACACTGCAGCCACAGCCACTAAAGACCTCATAGCCTCCCTTGAAAAGACAATGGAGCAGGAAAACACTATATATTTCATACATGTGTACTGGAACTTAATCATCAGCCAGTGACATGCATAGTATCCCCTTTGTCTTAGTCAATGTTCTAGTCCTGTAAATAGACCCCATGATCATGGCAGCTCTGATTGGGGCTTCGTCTGTTCTCATCATGGTGAGGAGGAGCATGGCAATAGCAGGGAGGTATGGTGCTGGAGAAGAAGCTGAGAACTACATTTTGATCCACAAGCAGAGGCAGTAACAACACTGGGACTAGTGTGGAGTTTCGAAACCTCAAAGTCCATACCCAGTGATATACTTCTGCCAACAAAGTCACACCTATGTCTTCTCAATTAGTGCCCTTTCTGATGAATAAACATTCAAATATATGAGCTTGCGAGAGTCACTCATTTTTAAACCACCACACCCATTAATGAGAATAAAAACAGTACATATTTTTGAAATGAAATACTTGTCTTTAAGTTTTTCAGGAAAGATGTTTCAACATTCTACATGTCTTATTATTCTAACAGTTTATTAGGATAATAACATGGGTGTGTGCATGTTTTCTAAAGGCACACATAAAGATTTATAGTTAAAACTTTAAAAGTAAAATAAAGTTTTAAGAACTCTTAAGACAACTGTCAACCACTCTTTAAAATATACTGAAGCATGTATATGTTCCCCCAGCAAAGCACCACAAATGCTTTATATAAGGGATGGTGTATTCTTCAATCCAAGTAGATGCAGAGAACTGAATTGGATGGTTTGGAGTAAAAGTATTGACTTGAATGATGAAAAGTCTGTGGGAACCAATTGTTGGGCTGATCATTTTTTGCACTGTGTAAATTTTGTCTGCATATTCTTCTAATTCTGATCTCTGTGCCAGCAGAGCTCTGATTACAGGCTGGACTTTGGTATTGTTATTGTTATTATTGAATTATATTTTGTAAACATTCTTTTCAACATCTTATGATTGGTTTAGAGGATGATGGCCTATAGAAAGCCAGGAAAGCATAGGTAGGACACCAGAAGTAAGAATGCTGGTAAGGAATCAGGCGAGAGAGTTTGCCAGCCAGATGAGGAGAAGGAGCAGGTACCAGGTACTCAGGAGGTAATGGGCCAAGTGGTAGAATGTAGATTAGTATAAGCTGATTAATTTAAGTATAAGAGGTCATTAGGAACAAGCCTAAACTAAGTTTAATCTTTCATAATCAATAAACTGTTGTCCATGCAATTACTTGGGCTTCTGGTGAGTCTGAGACAGTTTGGTAATAACCAGTAACAGAGAAAAGGAATAAATGAGCCTTGATTACAATTTGGGAATGTTTCTTTGAGGTTTTTTTTGTGTATTTTTCTGAGCTGGAATTACAAGAGTAAAGAGGAAGATGAAATAAGAAATAGAGACTTATTATGAAAGTATAAATAGGAAGTTATTTTTGCTGCAACAGAACTCCTGAAATGTGGGATCAAATGGACAGGGTGGGCTGAACACCTGAAAAGCTTGATATCTTGTAGCAATCTTGTAACAAGCTGTCACATCAATGTTTCTCAACTTCAATTGTGAAGGAGAAATAAGGCGTATATTTTAAAGCTACACTTGTAGTGAATTATTTCAACGTATTTGATTTGAGCAGACATTTTGAAAGTTTAAAGCTCTTTAGTAGTTGAAAACCTCAGCCAGTGATTTCAGAACCCCTGACACCTAGAAAGTTCTCTTAAGTCCTAGTTATGTCCCCCCACTCACAAACCATTATAACATGATTAATGTATGCTGTGTGCACAATTGTCTCTCTATCTCAAGTTAACTTTGACTCAATTTCAATGAGATTTCATATAGCCTTGTCCCACTAATTTGGACCGCCTCTAAGTGAATTCCTTATTTAATCTTTATTTCAGATACAGCTCAGGGAAGAAACCTGAGCTCAGGTTTAAAGTCAGCTCAGGATCTTAAAATTCATATCAGACTACATATACATTCTTTGTTCCATACATAATTAAAAAGTTAATGAGCATTGTGTTGGTTTCAATGAGAATGGCCCTCACAGGTTTATGTTTGGATACTTGGATCTCAGTTGATAGAACTGTTTGGGAAGGATTAGGAGGAGAGGGAGGACTCATTGGAGACAATGTATCTCTGGGAGTGGACTTTGAGGT